CTGTCTTCGGACAGCCCACCCGTTTGAACTAATAAAGTGCCAGGGGCCTAAGTGGTCACCTAAATATTAAAAAAAAATAAAAATAAATAAATAAATTTCGATACATATAAAAAAAGTGGTCAGGTCCATAATGAAAATTTCCAAATTTTCTTATTTCGAGAGTTTATTAATAACTCTTTTATATCAAGTGGGCCTATGATCTAAATAACCTATATGACCTGTCATAGGTCATTTGGTCATATTGAAGATTGATATAACTTATGATATTTTTAATATAGTAAGAATAATAGTAAAAGTATTTTTTATTAGCATTTAATACAGTAATATGACCGATATGACTATAACAAAAGTCATATGATTATATGATCAGTTATACGTACAGAAAAAAAGCCATGACATAGATCATCGGCCAACACTGATCTCTCTTATAAAGAGTTTATTATATTAAAGGTTCTTATAGCAAGAGTTATTTATATATTTATATAAATCACATATTATAACTTGCAGCCTTGTTTCAATAACAATAATTTATCATTATACTATCCTGTATACTAATACTAATACAGGATGATATATTGCTTACCAGGTGATGGGAGTCCATGTTGATTGGTGAAATTTGCAATAAATTTAAGTACATTTAAGGTAGTTGAAAAAGAAATTGCATGATTACTAACACGTCCAGTTAAGCTATGAATTTTTGATTTAAGACCAAAATTTTGATAGTGGGTACGTAAAGCCTCCCATCACTTTTTTTGAATATCATAGATTGTATACCAAGCTCTTTGGCAAATAACGACACCTTTAAATCTATAGTTCATCATCAAATATACTTTTGGTGTTCTATTTTTGAATTCCGTGGTATGCATGCTAGCATCAATTATTCCAAGAAAGCATAAGCTCAATTCGCTTTGTGTTAATGCTTTCATTTCTTGAAATCTTTTAAGTGCTGCCTAGGAATCAACAGTTAAAAGATATCTTTTGACACAACAAACGAATTGTTGCAACTTCTCCAAAAACGCATCATCATCCCGTTTATCTAACTTCTTATTATGAGTTTTTTCATCTTCTGCTATTACACACATTGGATAGAGCACATACATTCTATGAAAACGTTCAATTTGTTCGGCTGTAAAATAATTATTAACATATACAACTAATACTTATGAAGTTCCATCATAGGTTTCGTTATCAATAAATTCATTATCAGACTCTTTATCAGAGTCATCATTGGTTAAATAAGTATCTTGAAGTTTAGAGATTTCACTGTTTAAACATTCCAATTCACTGTGGGTTTTAGCGAAGATGTTTTCAAATACGTTTTTATTACTTTTATTAGCTGCCATCAAAAAAAAGAAATTTGGATAAATCACTTGTTATAAAGATAATACGATAAGAAGTAATATTAGAGAGTTTTATATGAATGGTTTTTATTTACTACTTTACGATTATTAATACATATCTAAAATTACTCTAACTTATTATACACTTATAAATAACCTTTTGGTATGTTAACTTACATGTAAGCGTATGGTACGTATAATATAAACTGGCTTGAAACCAAATAGAACCTCCCAAAATTTGGTGTCTTTCTTGTAGATTTTTACTTCTTAAAACCTCTCTAAATGCATGTCCACCTTACTTTACCAATAGCTTATTTAGCCGACATTACACCAAGTGACAATTCACTAAAAATAAAAATATTTACCTGCAACTACAGCTAAATGAACTTTCGGTGAAATAACTATCAGTGATATGAGCAGGGTTTCGGCTTATACAATTTTTACATATGATCCAGTCTCAATACATTTAAAGAAGTCTGATGGTGCTTATTATGCTTCATAAACATAAAAAATTGTTAGAGCACTTCAGGCTTCACCTTTTTTGCAAACCTTTATTCACAATAAAATCATTTTTGATTTTTATACATATTTTTATAATGAAATCTATGCAAAAAGAGAAAGTACGCATCAATTAAAATTCAAAACAAGAAATGTTTTCAGAACCAATAATACCCTTAAACTTATCTAAAAATGGGTTAAGTTCTGAAATTCTTTACTTTTTAATCTATCACATATTATTTCTTTAGCATATACTGCAGCCTCATACTTTACATATACATGTCTATCATATTCCTAATACTGTATATTTGCTAACAAAATAGATTATTATTTTTTTTCAGGTATTACATACGATTTCTATTTCACCTGTGTTCAAAAAAAAAAAGTTAAAGACAATAAGAAAATAAATAAAAAAAACGCAAAAACAAGGATATAATAAAAACTCAAAAGCTATAACCAACTTATGTTTAGCTTTGAGATCTCATTTAGACTCATGTTAATAGAGATCTTAAATATATAGATCTATGATACAGTATAATACTGTGAGATCTACCATATAAGCACGAAATTATGCCCACCTGCGTGTTATTTTGAAATAAGAGAAGATTTTCTAAATTCAATATAGTCAACTCCAATAAATACTGTTAGGTAAAATACTGGAAGAAATATCTAAACCGATTAGATTATGTATACTTATCATTATAGGAAAAGTGACTTGTGGACTATGTGCTACAGGATGCATGTTAATTTGGATACCCATAAGCGCTAAATTTGAGACCGTTATATTATTAAACCGGTAAAGAATTTTCAAACTATGCCATGATAATTATTTTATACAATACATACCGCATAAACCACTCAGGTCTGTTACTTTAATATGTAAAAATTAATTCAAACCCAGAAAGCTGCTGTACAGAGGTCTACTATGTGTTGTGCTGGGTATATAATATGAGTATAATATTCAACTACATAATAGACCCAGATCTTATACGTTTTACTTTTCACTGGATTCAAGTGACAGACCCGGGTCTACTATAAAGGGTCTTCTGTAAAGAGTGGTTTATGTGGCAATTTATAGTATGTATTTATGTATGATATTAATATATATATACCTATTTATATTTTTTTGATTAACATTTATATAGATTTTACTTTTAGATTTATCTGACCTGCCGATGCTATTGGCTGATCCATGTGACAAAAATCTTAAAAGCATTATAACTAATTTTTTTATTATGAAAACAGATATTCATTATTAAGTAAAAAATGTTTAAACCATTTTAATTAATATAATGAATATAAAAACTCAAATTTGAAAAATTTTTTGATTTGTTCCTTTTCTATTGACTTCACCCTACATAGTAGTTATATAGAGTTAATTAACAAAAGATAAAAATATACCAATATAATACTATACTTAAAAATTTTTATAATTTTTATTTTTTATTAATTCTTTTTCAAATTGAATTTTCTTATTTTATTAATAGATTTTTTGCAAATATATTTGCCAATACTGTTTCACCTTCTGTTATATAACAAAGATTTAAAAAAGTTAATATTATATTATAAAAGTTTATAAAAATAAAAATAGTATTTTCAAAATAAATCACTCTTCCCAACAATCACCTGGACCAAAATTTTTCCACTAAAGAACAACCAGAACTACTTGCTGGAGAGTCATGGCTAATACGGTGGTTTGTCTAGAGGTTAACTACTACTCTCGGGGACTCCTCTAAAGAAGAACTTTTGGCATGTAAGCCAGGAGCATTATTATACAAGATAACTGGCAAGCGGTACCCTTGTATAAAAAATCTTGGCGGAGTATGGGTGGGGTGGCCCAACTCTGTCGATAAAGCTGTTTGGTCATTACTTCACTGAAGAACTCAGGGGAAACAACAAGAAGCTCTGCTTTTTCAACACACTTGTTTAAAAAATTTTGAAAGTACTTGCAACTCTCTTCTCTTATTTTCACTCTTCTTCGGTTTTCCAAAATTTTTTCTCAAAAGTGGGAATTTGGCTTACCCCCTTCAAAAAATCGACATTGTTGACATTCCAAATCTGGAAAGCCTAGTAGATTACAATCACGTGTTTGATGGATACGGTGCTACTAATTTGGTCAGGTCCTGAGTTCTAGGTCAGAACCAAATATTTCAGAGTCGGTCATATAGTTAGAAAGAAACAATAATATTAAGGCAAAGCTTTATAGTAGAGATATACAAATGTTGTATTTGTTATATAATTTTTAATACTTGCCTGGCACAGGTTATAATAGTGCTTTTTTTTTTTTTTTCTTTTTTGTTCGTTTTGTGCTACTTCTTGATAGAGGTAGCTGCTATTTCTCACGGGAGATAGCTTTTCTTGTTCAGCCTGTCAGGGCTTATCTCTTTGTTTTTTCTTTTTTTACATTTTCTGTTCCCCCATTTTTATTCCTTATTTTTTTCCCTTTCTTGTTTTGTATCTTTTTTGTATATAAGCCCCTTTTCTTCTTGATGTACATTCTAGTATTGAGAATACGGAACATTATTTTTCTTTTGCTCTTGATGAAGAAAGTAAAAATGAAGAAATAGGCTCTTGGCGGGCTGACAAGGTCTTCTAACTTACATGTAGGTTGGTGTGACATGTCGCTCTTGGGCACACTAGATGCAGCCAGGTGATGTCAGGCTTGCAATTTTTATACTGTCATTATTCATTCTATCCGAGGTTGTTTAATAAAGTATTGTATTTGAGCTCCAGCAAGACTGTTAAAGAGCTAAAAAAAAAAAAAAAAAAAAAAAAATAGTATTTTTATTTAGGTTATTTGAAGTTATAATTTTATTTAATATTTCTTTCGAAGCTTAAGCATAGTGGGGGGAGGGGTTCAAATTAAACAAACATTATATAACATCTTAAAAAAATCACCATTATTATTGGTTAGTTCATATTATTGAAATCTCAAAGATGAAACAGATATTTTGATTGGCTTGTTTAATTTCTGGGGGGCTGTTAGAGGCGGTAGAGAGAAGAATGTTAAATGAAATTGTAACTTCAAACCGCCTTAAATATAATTAATTGATTGCAAAATATATACTAGTCAAAATTAAAATATTCAGTAATAAATCAGCAATAATTCAGTAACAATTCAGTAAACACTCAACAACCATTCAAGTACTGATTTCTGCTACTCAGCTGCCACTCAGCTATTACTCAGTAAAAATTCAGTAATATATTAATGAATTTTTACTAAGTAGTAGCTAAGTAGCAACTGAGTAGCAGGAATTAGTACCTGAATAGTTGTTAAATATTTACTAAATTGTTACTGAATTATTGCTAATTTATATTATTGAATGTTTTAATTTTGACTAGTGACAGTAGCTTACTATATTATTATAAACACTTTTTAGGATGTCATTATTCAAAATTTGGCAAGTAAATGTAGTATAAAATTTATGTTATATAAGTAGTAAATCTCAAGATATAATGAATTATAATTTTATATTGCTAGTTGACTAGAGTCAACTGATAAAAAATAAGACTAGACACAGTTACACATATCAATCTATCATGCATCCAGGGCATCAGGCCTTCCCAGTACACACAGAATCAACTCTACCAAATGCACAGTATCAGGGCTATACATATAAGAAACATGCAGATCATGCATAACAAATCAAACCAATCACATGAACATTAAGTATCACTTGATGATCAGCAGCCCCAGAATACATGAAACCATGCATACGATAAGCCACCTACTCTTTTCATATAATCATACAATCTTATAGCAAAAAAAACATTAACTCTTACCCAGAAAAAAATTTTAGCCCCATCTAGCCCACTTTTAATAACTTGAAAACAGCCACATGATTCTGCTATTTTACAACTGGCCTGCTTTGGCAGGCAGGAAACCACCAGCTGATAATCATGCTGATATTGCTTAACTATATTTCTACCTGGTCTGTTACAGTGACTCTTAGCGCAAGAACTCTTTTAGAAAAATCACTGTTTCAGCACCTATAAATGTATAAACTGTATTACCTTCATACTCTTGTACTGCTTACCTAATAAATATATTTTCTAGCTTCTTAAGTAGCTGGAATCCAGCCATAAAATATTAGTGCAGACCAATGTTTTTCAAGTTTTATTAAATTGTGCAAAAAGTAGTACAAAGTACTATTTTGGATTTGTATGAAAATTGATTTTCTGAATTTTTTAAAATTTTTGTTCAAATTGTCTCAAATTTCACTAAAATATAACGTAATACCCAGGTCAGTGTATAAAATCTATATGTACAATGTGCTTATAAGCACATATTTTTAAAAGTTTTTATATGTTTTTAGCTAGAAATGTGCATGAAATTCACAAGATTTCTAGCCGCATAGTGCACCAAATTTATTAATAAAATCTTAACTTTGTGCATATAGAGCACATTGTGCACACAGTCTATTTTTATATATGTAAATTAAATAAATATTTATATAAAATGTTTTATAGTATTATAAAAATTTATAGTGCACTAATTCATACAACTCTTTCCGACGATCATCTGGACCATATTTTTCTGAAAAACTTTTTGACTAAAAAACAGTAACGTACTGCA